CACCATCCCTGTGCCAAGTTCCCGGGTCTGTACACCCGCTGGGTCATCCCACTAGGGTTGCCACCTGTCCAGGATTCACCCGGACAGTCCGGGTTTTGAATGCCGTGTCTGGGTTTGATGGCAGCTGAAACCCGGACACATGATGTCAGGCGGACGGGGTCAACCAAAATTAAGATCGGGGCTACTGGCCCCCCCACTGAAAATAGTCTCAACTGTGATATTTACATATGAAGAAGCCGCAACTCATTCTCCCCCAAAAACTTCTGTGCGTCGCTACAGTGTTCGGGGTTTCAATGGAAGAAAAGGTGACAACCCTACATCCCACACTGGAGGCACCAACCTCTCTGGTCGCACCCCTCATACGCAGGAATATGCTCATCTTTAATAAAAGTCAAAATATTAGTTGCAGAGAGAGGAGAATGATTCCCTCTGATTCTATGCATGGGCTACATGCAGATGGTATGTCCTGGCCTTATAGAACACCTTAGAGGCTGACTACACTTTGCTGTGCTTGGACTTGCTGTGATCGGGATGATGTGCCGGTGTCAGAAATCCTAAGGCCCGGTTCACACCTGGGCGTGTTGTAGCGCGTTCCTACGCTCTGCAAAACGCTCAAACACCGAAATCCCATTATTTCCTATGGGCGTGGTTCACACCCGGGCGTATTACAGGCCGTAGGAACGCGCTACAAAACGCCCTATGCCCCAAGAAGTACAGGAGCTTCTTTGAAGCGGTTTTGTTGCGCGTATCCATTGGGATACAGCCAGGTAGCCCTCGGAAACGGTGCACGGTTTTTTTTACCGCGAAACGCGCATATTCGATACGCCTAGGTGTGAACCCAGACTAACTCCTACCCAGCCATCAGAACTGGCTGGTCCACTTAACCTACTGCCAGTTCAAGATGCAAGAACTCTGCGGCTGCTGACTGCATGCAGATTACTGTCAGTGTGCGGAAACTATTGTATCTGCCAGCCAGGGAACCGTATGTTCGTCAGCTGACAAACTGCAAATGGTGGCAAGTTACCCCAAATTGTTTGTCGGGTGTGTCTGAGCAGTGGGTGCAGTGACCTCACAAGGGTTCTAGCTTGCAGGGAATCTCAGAAGTGTGTGAATGAATATCATCTGACCATTCCACAACCCTTGGAGTGTGTCGGAATTATATCTGCCAGTGTGCGGCCAGCCAGTTAAAGTCGGGTTAGTCTCCCTCTAGTGGTGGCTGGCGGTATTGCAGGCTGCGATAACAGTGCCGTGTTACTTTGCAAATGCAAGATGTAACTCTTTCCTCATGTGATTTCAGATAAGATTGGTTATCACTGGAGGGATCCGCAGACAACGATCAGTCTGCTGCAGGCAGGAGGAAGCGTTTCCTCAGTCTCCCCTCCCCCAGTGATCAGTCTGCTGCAGGCAGGAGAAAGCATTTCCTCAGTCTCCCCTCCCCCCTGTGATCAGTCTGTAACTTTGTATCCAGTCACAAGGTGAGAGGCTGCAGCAGGGTAGGGTTGCCACCTTTTCTTCAAGCAAAACCCGAACACTCGCTGACATTTTTTGGGGGAGAATGAGAACGTGGCTTATTCATATGCAAATAGCATCACCCATTCTTATGTAAATATCACAGTTGAGACTATTTTCAGTGGGAGGGGGGGGGGGGGGGGTGTTTCTGCTGCCATGAAACCCGAACACAGCATTCAAAACCCGGACTGTGCGGGTGAATACCGTACAGGTGGCAACCCTACAGCAGGGGCTGACCCGAACAAAGACGGTAACAACTTTTTGGAGAGGAAAGCAGAGCGAGGCATTGTCAGGGAGAGTCCTGTGATCTCTGTGACACATTACTGAGAACGCTGCACTTGGCATGATCAGTATGTCTGATGAAAGGTCATCTTTACCCTTTTACCCCCATAGATCTCGCACGGCGCGCCTCTGCTACTCGTGACAAGTATAAAAGAGTAATGAGAAGTTTTGGGGGTCCCTGGTTTGAATCCCAGTCAGGACACTATCTGCATGGAGTTTGCATGTTCTCCCTGTGCTTGCCTGGTGTTTAGGGTTGCCACCTTTTCTTCCAGCGAAACCCGAACACTCTAGCGATGCATGGAAATTTTTTTGGGAGAATCCTGTCGTGCCTTATTCATATGTACATAGCGCCACCCATTCATATGTAAAAATCTCAGTAGAGACTATTTTTAGTGGGGGGCCAGTAGCCCCAATCTTATTTTAGTTGCCCCTGTCTGCCTGACATCATGTGTCCGGGTTCCAGCTGCCATGAAACCCGAACACAGCATTCAAAACCCGAACTGTCCGGGTGAATCCTGGACAGGTGGCAACCCTACTGGTGTTTCCTCCCACAAGATTTGCTGATAGGTTATTTGTCCTGTGTATGTGAGAGGTAGACTTTAGATTGTAAGCTCCTGGGGACTGACCGTGCAGTATGTAAATGGCTGGCACTATATTCATGTCAGTAATGTGAATATATAGAAAGCGCTGTGTTTGCTGTCAGACGGTGGAGCTGGCGCCTGGCGGCGGATTGGCGGAGGAGCTGGCGGTGGTTTGGCGGAGGAGCTGGCGGTGGATTGGCGGGGGAGCTGGCGGCGGATTGGCTGATTCCTGGCAATCATTAATCTGCACTTTGGTATCCTTTGTGACAACAAGCAGCTCTGTGTCCAGACACAACCACAGGAGGGAGCACACAGTGCTGAGTGCCCAGATCGCTGTGTCCTGTACACAGCCATGGGAGCTCCTCTACTCCGGATCCTTCTTCTCTGCTTCACCATTCCTGGGAATCTTGGGTCAGGTGAGACTCTGCCATGATGATCCACTTCCTGCCAATTTATAGGGTCAGACCACCACCAAGTAGGGTTGCCACCTGTCCAGGATTCACCCGGACAGTCCGGGTTTTGAATGCCGTGTTCGGGTTTCATGGCAGCAAAAACCCGGACACACAATGTCAGGCAGACAGGGGCAACCAAAATTAAGATAGGGGCTACTGACTTCCCACTGAAAATATCCAAAGTCTCCTCTATCCCTGAGTGGGTGAGATCCCTGCACTGAGCCCCCAGCTCCGAATTCCCATTGTGTCCATTGTGACCGCCAATCTTTTCATGTCACTTCCCTTCTGGATTTCCCTTTATACAATGTAACAAGATCAGAGCCGGGAGCGCACTGCAAGCCAACCTACACCTGGAATGTCACTTTGGGGTCCCCATTGCTTTGTAAATCCGATTCCTCTATTTACAAACAGAAATTGCTGGAAAGATCCGGAGATGTTTATTTGTAAATAGTTCTGGAAATGTCCAGTTTTCTTGGTTCTGCCTCAAAAACATGATAGACACAAAGGCCCCATTCACACACGAATCGGCCTGCGCGTACAGATCCGTGCCGCGTGTGGGGCCGTACCAAGTAGCTGTGTGATTAGAATGCAGCCCCCGTCCTTCTCTATGGGGCTACGCGGCCGTACGCCCCCTACGCTCACCTCATTTGCAGGTCCGTAGGGGTGCAGGTTTTCTGGTCGGGACGCATACATGTTCCATTCCGGCGGCGTATGAATACGATCACCCGCACGCAAAGGCTAGTTATAGATTCATGCAGGTACCATGTTTTTTCTAGTTTGACTATTTTTGGTTGAGAGGACGCACTGGAGTCCCAGCGTGCATCTTTGGTTGCTGGGCCTCCAGTGCGTCCCTGCACCTTATTAGGAGGAGTTGGCCACCTCCTGGTACACCTGCATGCAATTTATCGACTGTTTTTTAAGTACCTTACCACCATCGCAAGACAAAAGTCTTGCGATGGTTGCAAGGTGTGTGCCCGGCCTAAAGACTGCTCACACTTGGAGACTCACATACATAGAGTTAGGACCACACCTTGCAGAGGTGCCTTGGCGCGGCCGTGCGGCTTCTACATATTTTTGGCCAAAAGTTTGTGCAACTGAAACCTCTGATTTTAACGCATACTGTTGACAGGGCTACTTGTTTGGTTGCAGGCTGGCTGGCAGGTGAGCCGGGGATTTTTTGGCAGGTGAGCCTCCCCAATGTGCGCCGTGCTATAAAGGCCGGTTATAGATTCATGCAGGTACCATGTTTTTTCTACGATCACCCGCACCCCTACGGATCTGCAAATGAGGTGAGCGTAGCCCCATAGAGAAGAACGGGGGCTGCGTTCTAATCACGCGCAGCACCTGTCCTTCCCGGCAGCTACTTGGTACGGCCCCGCACGCAGCACGGAGCTGTACGTGCAGGCCGATTCGTGTGTGAATGAGGCCTAAAGGACATTGCAACCCTCCTGGAGTCTCCTTTGAGGGCCCGTTCACAACAGATGCAGTGCGGTCCTACCCGATTCTGGCCCGGACTCACTGCCTCGCATTGCGGCCGGCTCCCTTTTTAGTGGGGCAGGAGGGGGCGTGGCGGGCCATTGAAGTGAATGACACTGTAGCCACGCCCTCCAGGCCGCAATGCAATCGTCATTGTGCCTGAGGTCTGGTCCGATCAAAATGCTGCAAGCACTATTTTCAGCGCACAGGACCGGACTGCAGGCACAATGTGCCTTGCAATCCCGTGCGGGCAATCGCATTGCGGCCGGAGGGCGTGGCTACGGCGCCATGCGGGGCAGTGAGTTCTGGTCAGAATCGGACCGGAACGCACTGCATCTAGTGTAAATCGGCCCTTAGAGTCGGGTGGGGGCCAAAGTGACTGCAGATGCCTCTGCAATCCAAGATAAGTGTCTGTATAAAGTCACTCGCACTCCAATAGAAGTTCAAGTCAAAAACGGTTTATTGACTCGGTTGCCATCACATCATATAGCGACGTTCCGGAACAACAGCGACAGCGGTTCCTTCTTCAGGCAAACAGAATGAAAAAGGAACCTCTGTTGTTCCGAAACGTTGCAATATGATGTGATGGCAATCGAGTCAATTAACCGTTTTTGACTTGAAATTCTATTGATATCAGGAATGTGGTTTACTTGAGATGTCACATAGTTACATACATAGTAACACGCACACGCACAAGCACAAAGTCTGAACTCGATGGACCTGTTTCTTTATTCAACCTCGACAACTATGTGATACGTGTTTGGTATATTCGGGGGTTAATACTATCGCAGCTTCTGTTATGTCCGACAACATCAGCATTCCTATAAGAAGTCCGTTGATGTCTCCGTATCTCTCATCCTTCCTGTGGGATCCGTCTCTGCTCGGCTGG